TGCCTACTGTCACTTTTGATCAAGTTTAAGCATTTTTAGACATTTAAACTGGAAAACCAGTAAAAAATACTGATTAAGTTATAACCCCAACTAACCTAACCTGTTTCACACTGTAAGCAGTCATAACAATAAAATTACACATTACTGCCCATCAATCTTTTAACAATCTCACATTGTCATTTATGCGGGTCCTAAAACTCAATTTTCTTTGATCGGCATTTCACAGCTGTTTTTAGAGTGCGTGAAACCCTGCAACAGACACGTCTGTCATCCTTAAAGACGCAGCCTGATACTACACATTACACAACACGTGGCCCGGAGCCATCGGGGTGAACAGTGAGCTCTTACGGATAAAGCCAGTCCCATCTTTTCTTACATTCCTCTCTCTCATTCTTTGTTCCTCTGCGAGTCATTATACTCTAACAAAGCATGACACAAGAAGCATTATAAGCCTCCAAGTTTCATATTGAAAGGAAAACATGGAAACAAAAGGGGCAAAATCCAACTTCAGGGATGTACACAGGGCATACAGAGCAGAACGAATGCCCGGATTGACCCATTTTACCTCAGCGCGCCGCACAGAGCCTCTACTGTACGTGAAGTTAATAATAAACCCACAACAGATCTGCGCTAAGCGTCGATGCCTGGCCAAACATGGCTTGTTGAAAGTTGGATTAGATTTACGGTCCGCCGGGTGTTGGCGATCGTAAAAGTAGGATTATTAAAATAACTTTAGAAAAAGGAAAGATTGTGTACACAGTGTTCTTGTAAGAGCAGGCGAGGCAGAACAAATACATTTTGAGGTCTTAACTTTCTTTTCGGCGGTTTTCTTGGAAAACAGCACGTCTGACATTCCTGGTGTCAGTCTGAATAAGTAGGTGAGTGTTGATATCCGAGAAGTGATAGATTTCTCTCTGCCTCCGACACTGACTGTCTAGTTTTGGATGGAAAAGGGGAGTATAGGCAGGAATTCTACTACCTTCCTGTCGCAGGTTTCCATCATGGTTGCCTGAACGGGTAATTACATGCGCGGCGGCGGGGCAGGGGGGCGGAGGGAACGGACAGGCAGTGAGGGTTTTGAGCTTTGCCACTGTGTCATTATGGTCCTGTTTGAACCTTATTCAGAATAAGCAGCCTGAAGGCTGCGGCCAAACAGCCCGAGCTTTTCCTCATGTCGGGCCAAGTCGCCCGCCCGCCTGCCAAACCTCTTTTTTCTTTTTGCAAAAAAAAAAAAAAAGAGGGCCTCCAGAACAAATAGTATACAGTATATCACCCTCTGCTTGATATACCGCATGATATTTTCTCACTTTTTAGTCTCTGAGCTCACATAATTTTCCCACCAACTTCCACATATACAAATTTATGTTTCTGTTTGACCAGCACTGGCCTACAGAAGCTAATAAAAACACTTTAGCTTTACAACTGGTACGAAAATGTACAATGGTTTTACTATAGTAACACTAACTGTATTAACCATGATATTTTGGCCCAATAGTTAAATGTTTGGAGGGTCACAAAAATCAGCTTTATTTTCAGTTATATTACTTCCTATTTATAAATAGTAAATAAAAAAGCTTCCACAAAATGTAAGTAAATATA